CTTCACTTCTAAAGTGTACACAATTCCCAGCAGGGAATTGAAAGTCCATTGGCCTTTTTGGGTCTGTTGTTCGCCGTGAAGAAGGTCGGCCCGAGACTAGGTCGGCCCCCCTAGCTTCTGTCATGGGGGTCTGCTTGATGGCCAGCGGCCTCCTGCATGTCCTTTGGGCCCTCAAAGAAGGGGCCGACTTGACACAGCCGGGTTCTTTCCACGTCTGAATGGCGCAAATGGAAGCAAGGTGGTGGGGAAGGGGCAGCCCAGATGGACTCGGGGTTTGTGGGAACCTGCCTCTCCCCCTGCAGCGTGGCCACCCTTGAGTCACAGCGTGTGGCGCCACAGTTCCTGTGTGGACCCTACTCAGAAGCCATTTAAAGTTTCCCCCGGGCGCACCCCCCACCCCACCCCACCCCACCCCCTGGCCCATGCCTTACCCCTGCACAGGCTGAAGCAAAGAACAGGATCAGCCGGGGACCCTCCTTCAGAGGGGCAATGCCTCTATCCTGTCCCAGCCACGCTCACCTGTGCCCGCAGAGTGGGGAGGGTGTGGCGCGGGTGCTCGAGCCATCCTGGGGGTTCAGAGCCCATCAGCTCTGAGCACAGGAGCGGACCTCTCACAAAGGTCCTCCAAAGGTCCCTGTGGGGACGTGCATCGCCTCATCACTGTTCTGACTGCTCCGTCACTCCCCTGCCAGATTTAGAGCTGGGTCAGTCCCTGGAGTGGGCAGGGCTTTGTGGGACAGACAGGTCTTTACCCTGCGAGTGCCCTCCCCTTCTCTTTTTTCCATGTTTACTGTCAGCCCCATCAAGACAAGGCCGTGCCCCGGGAGTGGTCCCACAGCCTGGCACGGAGGCTCCTTTCTAAGGACACACAGTTGGTGGCTGGCGGGTGTTTGCTTGGCTGGCCAGGCCCATGTCTGGGGGGCCCACAGGTGCTGCTGCTGTTCCTTTTTGCCCTCACTCAGCTCCCTTGGCTGACTTCAGGGTCTCAGCTGTTAATTACATCTGCCCGTCGGCCTTGGCCGCTAATCCGCGAGGTCAGACAGCAGAGGTGACGCCGACGCGCTGCCTCTTGTCATCTGCAATCCGCAGCCGTTTCATTGACTAACTCCTGGCCGAATACCGCCAGTTAATCACAGTGATCACAGAGCTCCCCGCTCTAGCCACACAGCACCAGGGAGGCAGCGCTGGCCTTGCTAATTGGCATCGCATCGTGGGGGTATCGATCCCACTGCTCCGGCTGGCGAGTAACGGCCTCCCACCTCCAAGGGGATTAGGCCTCCCCTCTACAGGACCTGCCCCAGAGCTCCCCTCTCCCCCACCCTGCTCGCGCCTCCCCCACTGATGCTTAGAAACAAGACTGGCCACATGGAGAGGGGCCGCTGTGGGGGCAGAGGAAGACCCAAGGCTCAGCAGGCCGGATCTCTGTAGCCCCTTACAACAGGGGCTGTGAGACTCTCCTTTTTATAAAGTTGGGGTACAGAGCCTCTCTGAGGGCCCTGGGGCCTGGCACATGATGGACTGGGAAGCGCCTGTCCCCAAGTCCCCACTCACCTGCCTGACTTAGGCAGACCCTGAGCCTCCTGGTCCTGGGCCTAAGACTTTCCTAGGGAGCTGGAGCCAGGGTGCGATCTCTTCCTGCCTCTGCCTCAGCAGGGGAGCAGGGCAGCTCGTGGTGTGCTTGTTCTACTTCTTTTCTGCTCCAGAGCACACATGTCCATATTCTGTCCTCCGCCCCTACCCCCCATGGGTACTGGAGTCTAGACAGGAACCCACGGGGCTTGGGCCAGGCGCTCAGGACGCCTTCCTGTGGGCCCCAAACTGAGTGTGGGGTGAGCTCTAAGAAGGGGTGTTAGGGGTGGGGTACAGTGGCTCATGCCTGTGATCCCAGCACTCTGGAAGGCTAAGGCAGGAGGATCACTTGAACTCAGGACTTGGGGACCAGCATGAGGAACAGTGAGACCCCCAGCTACTCAGGAGGATAAGGCACAGGATCACTTGAGCCCAGGAGTTTGCATTTGCCGTGAGCTATGATGATGCCACTGCACTAGGAAGAAAAAAACAAGGGGCAGGGGAGCCTCGTGACACCAGTCAGTGAGGCCAAGAGGTGGGCCTGGTCCAAATGGCCACAAGGCATGGATGGGTCAGGCCCACACAGCGGAGTATCGCACAGCCGTAGAAAGTGAATTACAAGCCGGGTGCAGTGGCTCATACATGTGGCACTCTGGGGTGCCAAGGTGGGAAGATTGCTTGAACCCCAGGAGTTTGAGACCCTGTCTCTACTTAAAATAGAAAAACTAGCCGGGCATCGTGGTGTGTTCCGGTAGTCCCAGCTACTCAGGAGGCTGAGGCAGGAGGAGCACTTGAGCCTAGGAGTTTGAGGTTGCTGTGAGTGATGGTGCCACGACCTTCTTCCCAGGGAAATGGAGTGAGACTCTGTCTTTCAGACACACGACAAAGCAGTGACATCCTCACTTCTTACACAGACCACATGAGCTGTGAAAGCCTCGTGCTTGGTGAAAGAAGCTGGGTTTCCATTCATCCGAAACCTCAGGGAGGCAGGTCCACAGAGACAGAGCAGACAGCAACTTCTCAATACCTGCCTCCCGGGAGGGTTTCTTTTAAGGGCGGTGGAGGTGTCCGGGTGGCTTGGGCTGAACTGTACTGTGGGAATCTTCTCAACAAAGCTGTTATGGCCAAAAGAGAAGGGCAGTAGAGACCCCACAGATAATGTTTCTTTACCGAAACCTTCCCTGGCGTCTTATCCCCAAAAGTTTACGGTGAACTTTTTAATCAAAGTTTAAATATGTACAGAAAAGTGCATAGACCATAGTGCCTGGCCCAGTGAGTCCTCAGAGTGAACCCATAATTCGGGGAACACCTGAGGGCCCTCCTGGTCCTTGTCACTCACTGCCCTCCCCACCCCTGGGGGTGGCTGTCTGGATTCCTCCCTCAGGGTGTTTTGTGCCTTTTGGTACAAGGCTATCTCTGGCTTTTTCTGTTCCTGGTGTCTTTGGGTGACTGGTAGCTGAGGTCTTCTGGGGTGGAGCTCATGCTAGGACATCCCACAGGCCAGGTCCTTCCTGCTGGGCTCACGTTGGGGCTGCCTGAGCCTCAAGTGTGTCTCTGGTTGGGTGTGCGCCGTGGGTGGGGTTGCTGGCTCAGGGCATGGGTGTCTGGTGCTGAGGAGGTGTGGCTGGTGCACCAAGGCTGTACAGATGGGGCTTAGCTAGCGTTTCCCTTCACCTGGTGTGTGCATACAGCTGACCAGCCCCCGAAGGCTATTTGAGCCCAGCAGGGTCTGCCCCAGGCCTGG